TTGTAATCTGACAAAAATAATAAAATACGTTATATTTTGTCGTTTTAAAAAAATTTAAACAATCATTTTATCTAAAATTTATTATTAAATTGAAATCGTTAAATATACAAGATTAAAAAAATTAATTTTTGGTTCATGTGATTTAAGTTAATCAATTGAATCAAACTGCTAATGAACTTGAACAGAGTAAAATTCAAACTAAAAAAAATGGTTCAATTTGAGTCGAGCTAGGAGATAGGCCAAATATAGGATCGACCAACCCTAAAGCTAAGCAATCCCTTGCTTTAAACCTCCCAAAAAAATATAGTATTAGTATTTATACTATTAGTTAATTTAGTATAATAATAATTAGGGTATTTTTTTTAAAAATAAAGTTTGAACATTCTTGAAAAAAAAATTAATTTTTTTATAAAGACTCAACTTTTTTATTACTTTGATTAATTTTATTAAGATCTCATATCAAAAGTTGATTTAGGTCTAAAAGTATGTTGGGTCAATCCTAACCGAATATAATCGAGCTGAACTCAAGTCAAGTCAACTCATTTCAAGCCTTGATAGGGGTTAATGTTGATTTAATTCATAAATAAATATGATAAATAATAAAAATTAAATTAGATAATAAATTAAAAGAATTTCTATAAACATTTTTATCAAAAAATAATCCTATAATACGCTCTCGTGAGATAAAAGTAAGTGATTTTTTTTTTAATTTTCTTTAAAAAAAATTTAAGGAATTGTCATCACTCATATATTTCGTTTTCGTAACCACTTCTCTCTCTTTTTTTATTTATTTATCATTTTCATCTTTATTTCAAGAGTTTAAAATTCAAATATTAGTCTTCAATATTTTATATTATATTTACTTCAATATTTTTTAACCTTTTTGTCTATTTGAATATATACTTTTCATATTTATTTTATTATTTTTATTTAAAAAAATTATCAATAATTAAACATAATTTATATCACAATGTAAATCAATTATTATATATCTAAAATATAATTTACATATTTAAAGTTATTTATTTATTATACATTTTAATATTAATATAATATAGACGAATTATACTTTTAGTCATTTAATTTTATTTTTAGTATTTATTTTAGTTCTTTATCTTTTAAAACATTCATTTTGATCATTTATCTTTTAAATTTGGATTGATTTGCTCTTTTTAAAACAATGACTATTTTTAATTTTGAGATATGATTTTAAATTTTTATTTAATTGATTAGATTCACCTTTTTAAAAATTATAAAATTTAATTCATGTTAGAACTCTAACATAGTATAAATTGTGCAAATAATATATCACATAAGCAACTATAAAATTATATAAAATTTGATTTTTTTAAATTTTTTACAAGATTTTTTTTTGTATATTAGACTTTTTTATTCAAATATCGGTAACTAGTTTTCATGTAAGTGAATCTAATAACTTTTAAATCTGTCAAAAAATAATTCAAAACTGTTTCTCAAAATTGAAAACAATAATTATTTATAAAAAAAAAAAAACAAATCGACTCAAACTTAAAAGATTAAAATAAATATTTTAAAAGATAAAAAATTATAATAAACTTTTAAAATAAGACAAATAACTAAAAGTATAATTTAAATTTTAATATATAATCAAAATTATTTATTTATTATAAATTTATTCATATAAAACAAATGATTGTCATATACATAAATTAAAATGTCAGTATCATAATATAGACTATTTATTATAAATTTAAAATATAATTTATATGTTTAAAATATTTATTTATTATAAATTTGATCGCAATATAATTTACATAGTTAAAATATTTATCTATGATAAACTTGTATAAAAGAAAATTTTATTTAATACATTGTACATATTAAAATATTATTATGTGTCAAAAAAATGCAATAATAGAAAATAATTTTAAAAGGTAAACATAGTTTTAATATTATTTTATTGAGTAAATTTTACTTTTTCCTGTGTTCTTCCTTCTTATGTCATATATACAATTAGTTGATTTTTTATATCACAGTGACACCAAGTAGCGGGCTGGGTAACATTTTGTTTAATTTAGTCAGTGTCCTGTGACTCCTGTCAACTGAGACAACACTGTCCAAGATTGCATGCTCAAGTATTTGAAAGACGAATTTTTTTTAAAAAATTTTTTAAACCAAGAGTTAAATTTTGGTTCGATGAGAACTGACTGAGCCGTGTACCTTTATAAGATTATTAAAAGAAAGAAATCCAATACAGTAGAGCTATTTTTTTTTATTTTATGTTAAAAAATTAAATTATATCTATAATAATATATAAAGAAAATATTTTCTCTCTCAACTGCTTTTGATTATCATTTTTAATGAAATTATTTTCTCTTTCAAAACTTTTATAAAAATTAAACTCATTTATTTTTATCTATTTTCTTTTATACATTTTAGTCTTTTAACCTTCTCGAGTAACCATATTTACATTTTTATTGCAAATAAACTTCTCACTACTCATATAATTTTCTCTCTCTCTCTTCTCATCTCTTTCTTTCCATCTTAGTGACCTTCATTTTTATTTTTTTTACATTATTAACACACAATTACTCTCAAAATTCTTTTTTTTTTACCAAAAAATAAATACACAAACCTCGACTCCACTAGTGTATATATCAAAGTAATCTAATACCATGACCGAGCGAATGACTAATCTACTAACACTGAGATAAATTATTAGGATCAAGTAATTAAGAAAATGAAGTATACAAATCTTGATAAAAGAAATTGCAGGCTAAAATAGTTCAATAGTTTATTTCTCTTGCCTAATACAAAAGTAGCATATGAAATGCTCAAATACACATTTAAAATACGAAAAGAGAAACAATATTGAGAACCCCAACCAATGCTTGAGCTTTTGCTGATAGCTGATGTCTCTGGGGTGGCAGTTCCCTTGTTTAGTTGTATAACTTAACTTTTGTTTTGTGATTGTTTTCATTTTCCACTGCATAAAAAAGTATTTAATTTAAACTATATATTTTAATTTTATAATATAGAAATAGAATAATAAACTTCAAATTAGTTCATAACCAATGAATATATAAATAATGCTATGACCATATATAAAAATGAATTAATATAATAACTTCATAAAAATATCTATTTATATAAGGATAATGGTATGATATTTTTATATACAAAACTATGATATTACCCGTGCTGTTTCACACTTACATATGTTTGATCGATCAATTTCTTTTGCATAAAAGCTAGAAATCGTCATTTGCGGATTGGTCGTGGGACTTCAGATCGATTGGGTCCAACTTCGTCCTCCGTGATGCTCTACCAAGTCCTTAAGAAAACTTCCAGTTATATACCAAAATCCTCAATATCATCGACATTGTCCATTGCCGTTTCTAGTCTAAATATTTATACAAACATTTTCTTCAGATATGTTATCTAATTCTAGTACTAAAATCACATTGGCACTCACTCAAACGTCGAGTGTTTAGAAGTAACCATCACCTTTATTAACCGTCGTTTTTGCAACCTGCCGAAATCGCCTCAAGTATAATTTAAAAATTAAAATAGAAGTAGTTATTCCATATATGGCACAGTAAAATAAAGTTTTTAATATTTTTCGATATGAAAACTCAAGTTTTAGAGAACCAAGTATAACATAACTAAGCCACAATCACCACGCATTGGAACTATATACCGGGGATGCATGCACGAGAGATTTTTATTTCATTTGACTCGGAGGCAAGCCGAATCTTGTCAAACTTGATAGTATGGGTAAACTCCAATAGTAAATTCACTCGCAAACTTGATTAAGCTTACATAGTCTAGATTGTTTGAAAATATTAACAATGCAAATATAGAAGAGAGGGAAGTAGCAGTTCACAGAGAAGAGAAAATATGCACTATTCTATTGCATTACAAGCGTCTTGAATTTACAATAATGAGAAGAGAATATAAAGACAATAGAAAATACAGAAGCCAACAAATAAAAGTACTAAACTATCCTACAATAATGAGAAGAAGATATTTATTATTTCATGAAACATATCATTAGAGGTTTAGGCAAGTTGGTTTAACCTATTTTAGGATCCAATCTAATTTCCAGTTTGCATTTTTTCCAAGCAACCTAACCCAACCTGAATGTAATATAGTTGGGTCTGGTTGAGAAATATGATTGATCAATTAAAATATTCTAAAATTTTGAAGAAAAAATATTAAAATTAAAAAATGCATAATTAATTCAACTTTTAATATATGTCTCAAACATTAATAACAAATAACATGTGACATGATACATATCTCACACAACACAACACTAACAAGAATAATAAGATGGATACATATTAGATGATTAACTTAAGTCTTAATTAACATATCCTGTATATGAGTATATCTATAATTTTATGTATCTTGCGCATATAAGATAATTAGTATTTTTTTATTATTATTAAATTTAGGTCGATTTGATCAAATTACATACCTTTTAACCTGTTACCCAACTCAATTACAATCAGATAAGTAAAACATTGTCCAACCTAACTCAATAACCTTACCCTACTCACTGAAATGTTATTGGGTTGGGTTGGATTCACGAGTTAACCACGACCTGCTAACACCCATAAAGAGCTTGTGGGAGAGTTAACCCGTTTTTGTGTTACAAAATCATAAACTAGCAAAATAAGTTTAATAGTTAACTAAGAGCTTGACAATTAAACAATCACCAGTAGCCAAAGTCAACACCGCACTCCGCAGAATGCAGTAGAGTCTAAACATGTATGACAGGTAAGTGAGACCAGCAAACAGACTCACAGAAAACGAATCACACAATGTTAAATAAGTAGTATAAAATTCAATCATTCCAATATTATATTAAAATTTTAAACTAAAACGATATATTTTAGTGAAAATAAAATACTTAACCATGGTTGCAAATGATAATTAAAAAATAATAATTCTGGGTCATCATTACCTAGTGAAATAGAAGCTGTATTGCCGAATGATAAATCAAAAAGAGGGAGGAAAAGGAAAGGGATATAAGCCCTTAAAGGAATTTAATAGGATACCATGTCTAATGGATCTTGCTCCTTCGAAAGATTGTTATGAATCATAACCCTGCTACGATCACCTGCCAATACAGCACGTAAAAGACCAAAACTCAACTGTTCCAGCAGTAAAGAATTTCATATTACCTAGAGAATTTCGGAGTTGCAACTAGCAACCATCGGAATCTTCCTCAACTAAAATATCAGGGAAATGGCCAGCTAAATCTGCAATTCCTTGATATAAACTATAAAGAACTGTATCACCATTGCATTCTATCTATAATGTTGAATTATGAGAATCCCAAATTTCTTATCATGGAATTATAGGACCCAGATCCTGCTTGCATAAAGAACTAGTTTTGCATATTTGACTCATCTGTTTTCTTGAAGCCATCAACCAGCTTGTCCTTGTTAGGTAAGACTGGATCAGCAACAAACGAATATTTCTTTTCAGATCTTTGCTTCTCTCCTTTATTCGGTGAAGGAATTTTGGAAAGTGTACTACTGGTCGACTCAGTGGATGAATTAAAAATGTCAGCCAGAGAAACATCCAAGCTCTCAACATTGTCTGGTTTCTTGACACTATTCTCTCTGTAATTCGAGGAAGGAATTTTGGAATGAGTATCCTTGGTCAACTCAGTGGATGAATCTAAAATACCAGTCAGAGAAACACCCAAGCTGTCATACTTGTCTGAGTTCTTGACACTATTCTCTCCTTCCTTGTTGCTGTGCCACAAATCCATAGCTTGCCAAAAAGAACTGTTTTGTTCATTACATTTTGGCTTTCTTTGCTCTTCTGATTGAGATAAACAAGAGCTCTCTCCTTCAGATGCAGAAGACTCATCATCTGAGAATACAGGTTCATAATCAGGATGCTTTGACTTTGATGTATCCAGTTCTATAGCTTTCTGACTTGACTTTATTTCCAAATCACTCATGTTGGATTTGTTGAAAGAAACAGGACCTAACTCGTCCCATGAAGATTCATTGTTAGCATGTTTCAGGGCTGACTCAGATAATTCACTGTCTGAGTTAGAGGCTGCATGACTATCAGTGGTTGCTTGAGTTTTGAGGGTAGACGTTTCGGAGTCAGAATCACAGACAGTAGTCACAGAAGGAAAAATATAAGTAGACTCTAATTTAACCCCAGGCATTATCTGTAGCAAGGCTGCCAACTTTTGATAACCAAGTTTCTTTATATCAAGATGATAGCCATACCTATCAACAAATAGTCTTCGGAAACAACCAATATTATATCCCTCGGGATGTTCCCTCAGTATCTCACTCACAAGTTTCTGACAGTCTCCTAATATATCATATCTTGATCTCTTAATATATATTGTTTCAGTGACTGGAGCAGAAGCTTGAGAATGAGAAATACTCTGATTGTGTTTCTCCACATCATGTTCTACTGACTTTTGCAAGTTCGACTGTGATGTTCTGCTTAGAAAGAGAGATCTCAAACCATTTGCACCATGAGATTGGTCCATCAATGAATTCTTCTGAACAGGTTGAGTTAGCTTAAAAGGAAATATTCGGGAGGGGCTTTCTTCCAACCATTTTTTCTCTATTATTAACAATTCCACCAAATGAAGGATATCTTTTTTGGGGAGTGATCTAAGAACCAGGGGACCGCCACTTTGTAATCTATGCACCACATCCTCCCTGACACAAATAACATATAACAGAATGTTACTAAATTTCTCCTTCATCAATTAGTTACATAATGATCACCATAAAATATCAAAAGAGACAACTTTCAACTGAAACTTTATGATATAATTAATTCGTCAACATTGTTTTCCTTTTTTGGTAGTCGATTTTCAGATTGGAACAAGGAATGAACGAACACATGGAGGCCAAGAGCTGGTTATTATCAGTAACAAAGAGAGAATTTTTTAAAAGATCTGTACAGAACTAAAAATGCACGCTAACCTGCTTCTTGATTGGGAGAAAAGAAGTGATGCTTTCGGCGCAAAAATAAATGATTCCATTTCATTCCAAAAGGAAGCACTAGAAAATAACTTGGGCTTTCTGGAATGACTAACATTCTGATTCTGTTCTGATAACTCGCACTCTTCGAATTGACGAACAGTCTGGTCCAGTTCAGATAACTTGGAATCCTCAATATGACTAACATTCTGACTCAGTTCTGTTGACTTGGGCTCTTCAAATTGACGAACAGACTGGTCCAGTTCAGATAATTTGGAATCCTCAATATGACTAACATTCTGACTCAGTTCTGTTGACTTGGGCTCTTCAAATTGACGAACAGACTGGTCCAGTTCAGATAACTTGGAATCCTCAACTTCACTAACCACCTTGTTCTGATGAGCGGTCAAATTGTCATACTTTGCATTGTTTTTCCCAAATGGCCACCAACTTCTAAACCAGCTAAAGAATGTTGGACTTCTGCTATTAGTTTCAGCGCTTCCACCAGGTCTTTGGACAACTATAGAGTCGTCAACTGGTAAAGAAGATGGGTTGTGAAAAACTTCATCAACCTCCTTTCCAGTTGATTTCTCATATTTGTTCTTGGCTTCAAAATATCCAGACTCATAATTTGCAATAACATTGTTTTCCACCATCTTGTGAACATTTCCAGCAGAGTGATTCTCTGAAGTTATAAGCTTTTCCATACTTTTATGACTTGCATCCTCAGACTTAACAATGTCATTATCAGATTTTTGAGATGTCATTTGTAAGGAATCCATCTTTGTTTTGGAATCTTTGTTGTCCTTGGGTGGCTGTTGAGTCTTTGACTGTTGCGCATTAGCCACAGAAGATTTCTGCAATTCATTTGGGGGCTGACAAACATGGCCTTCAACCACTACAGAAGATGATGATTTCTCATATTTGTTCTTTGCTTCAAAATATCCAGACTCATAATTTGCAATAACATTGTTTTCCACCATCTTGTGAACATTTCCAGCAGGGTGATTCTCTGAAGTTATAAGCTTTTCCATACTTTTATGACTTGCATCCTCAGACTTAACAATGTCATTATCAGATTTTTGAGATGTCATTTGTAAGGAATCCATCTTTGTTTTGGAATCTTTGTTGTCCTTGGGTGGCTGTTGAGTCTTTGACTGTTGCGCATTAGCCACAGAAGATTTCTGCAATTCATTTGGGGGCTGACAAACATGGCCTTCAACCACTACAGAAGATGATGATTTCTCATATTTGTTCTTTGCTTCAAAATATCCAGACTCATAATTTGCAATAACATTGTTTTCCACCATCTTGTGAACATTTCCAGCAGGGTGATTCTCTGAAGTTATAAGCTTTTCCATACTTTTATGACTTGCATCCTCAGACTTAACAATGTCATTATCAGATTTTTGAGATGTCATTTGTAAGGAATCCATCTTTGTTTTGGAATCTTTGTTGTCCTTGGGTGGCTGTTGAGTCTTTGACTGTTGCGCATTAGCCACAGAAGATTTCTGCAATTCATTTGGGGGCTGACAAACATGGCCTTCAACCACTACAGAAGATGATGATTTACCATCCACAATTTCCTCATTGGGTCTCCCCTGTGGAGGCCCTGGTTGGAAAGATTTTAAATCATCATCCGAACTCCTTTCAAGGCAAGTGGAGATCAAGGATGTCTCTTCTGCATCCCTAACCTCACTTTTATCATCACCATTTGGCTTCACAGCCGCTGCACGTCCTCTATCCCCATTCCCAACACCAGACACATTTGACGCCACAGAACTGCTCTCAAAAGATTCTGCAGATTCCGAAGAAACCAAATGCACACAATAGCTACCGTCGCCAACAGGCCGAAGCTGAACACGTTTCAACGACAACAAAAAGCGAGAAAAGTTCTTATGTCCAAACAAACTCTTATCCAACTGCACATCACATTTTGCCAACTCAGCACGAAGCTCAGTAATGCCTATCCCTTTGGGATGCATACTCAATATATGCCTAATCTGCCTCACAAGTGACTTAGGAACTGAACCTGAGGAAGGCTCATAGACCTCAACATTGGGCAAACACGGCGCAGGCGGCTTCTCAAGCTGGCTCACCATACAGCTTCCATACCAAGAACCGGAGGGACCATCAGGAGGATAATTGAAATGCTTTCCAGTAAGATTTTCTCCCTTAAGCAAGGAAGGCCAATGCCACGCTATTGTTGCAGCACCGCAGAGAACACTAGGAGTCCTCTCCGGTGTAGCAAGTAAGATATTGTAATTACTCATTCTCAACCTATGCAAAATGCCAGCAAAGTCTCTATCACCGGAAATCAAAAAGAGATGCGCAGGTGGAGGGTTTTGGGAAACCCAATACATTAGGTCAACGATAATGTCGGCGCTATTCCTTTCATCTGCGACAGCGAGAATTAAAGTGAATGAAAGACGGCGAAAAGTAAAGGAATAGAAAAAGCGAGCGATAGGGGAGAAGAGGAACCGTTGGAGACGTGGGTGAAGCGAACGCCGGTGTAAGCGAGGGCTTCCTGGCGGTATCGGGGGAGTTGCAGAACGTCGCCGAAAGCGGTGATGCTGAGGGGGCCTTTGATGCCGTTGGCTCTGACGGCCTCCATTATTGCGGGGGCGACTTTGGCGGCGTCGAAGCCCCCGGGCACGGCGCAGCTCTTGAAGTCCCACCACGCCCAAACCCTCACGTTTCGGGACTCCTCCGATGATGGCGTGTGAAGCGTGCGAGGCCAACACGAGGACATGAAGAAGAGGGTTTTGCTGAGAACGGGCCTCGCCGTGGGGATCACCAACAATCGGAAACCGGTTGCCATGGGTGTGTATTGGAAGCTTGAGGGAGGATTCCTATTTCCTATAGAAAATGGTGGCGGAGCTAAAACCCTTGCTTGTACCCTCTGTGCTAAGTGCTAACTCCTAACTCCTAACTGCTAACTGGGGTTTTTAAGTTTTAACTATTTTTCCTGGGTCGTGTTTGTTTTAAAAAAAAAAAATTTTTTTTTTTAAATAAAATAAGTAATTTTCTATTTTCTGTTAATCTGTTGAGTTATTATTTTTTTTTTTAAAATAAGCAGTCTTTTTTTTCTTTTCAACAAACAATTTCAATTTGCTACTTAAAAAAATGACTTTTAAATAATTTGTTTAGAAACATTTTTTTATGTTAAACAACCTAACCCATACTTCATACTTAATTCTTAATGTGGTCTTGTTAAATATTTATAAGAACATAATAGTTTTATTTAACACAAATTACATTAATTTTAGTGAAAGATATGTGATTTAACATATATAAGATGATGTGTATACCTCTTTTATTAACAACTATTAAGATTATTTAATATAATGAAGATGTTAAAGGCATGTACGAAATCTTAAATGCTCCCAAAATTAAGATACATATATTTCATGTATCATAATTTAAGAAAATAATTTGTATATATGCTTGTTGAAGTAAACTCAACATCTTTTAGTAAAAATAATAATAATAAGATAAGAGTTGAATGTCGGCTCATTTGATCATAGTAGAAATTTTAATATTATTTAAAAATGACAAAGTTATTTTCACCTTTATTTAAGAGAAATTACTCAAGTCTCGTTAAAAACATTTTGATCATATTTTTAATCAATAGAGGTCATCTTATTACTTTTAGTATGTTTGATTGTGTGTCATTATCAATGTTAAACTATGCTTTTCTATCAAAAGTAAGAAATTAAACCAAAAGCAAATATGAGTAGTTTTAAAAATATTGTTAAAAATCATGTCTTGTTGTTAGACTAATAGGCACTTAAATCTTTTTCATAAACATCTAATTTGTCAAAGAATTAAAAAATGATATCAAATTTTGAAAAACTAGAGTCATAAAAAGTGTTAAAGGAGTATGTTTAAAGATATTTTTCTTCTCGGTTAAGTTAAGAGTAAAGATATCAAAATCCAGGTTGACTCATCACAAATTGGTGATTTAAACAAGTTAATCTAACTCAACTCACTTCTTGGAGAATTAGAAAATTTTTAACTTAACTCAACTTACCATGAGTTGGTGGATTAGATCATAATTTTAAAAATTAGATCAGTCATCAAACTAGTTAGGGTACTAGGTCAATGAGTCAAAGGTTGAACCAATAGATCACTAATTGAACTGTATAACCCGATTTCTATTAATTTTTAAAAAGAATATTCATGTTGTGTATATTTTATACTTATAAATTTAAAAAAAAATTATATGGCATCTTAAATTTCAATTTCCATCTTATTTTAAATTATCTTTATTTTTATTTTGTATAAAGAAACATGAAAAATTTGCGTGTTAAACTGTATATTAATACAAATTAAAATATAAATAACATGTATATATATATATATATATAAATATAATATACTTGTAATTGATATTGCAAAATAATATATGTAATATATGTAATATCTACATATATATTATATTATTAAACATATAATTTAAAATTATTAATAATATATTATAAAAGTTGTTTAAGTTGCATATATCACAAAAAAATTCATTAAAACAAGTAGTCATCGTAATATTTGACAAGACTCTTTATGCTATGGTGAGCAGGATTTGATTCCAATGTTGTGCTTTTTTATGGTTGAATCGGTTCACTAGTAGAACAGAAAAATTGATTGATTCACTCCGATTTGTAATGAGTCAACTACATAAATCAAGGGCTCCGATTTGTGATGAGTTGAATGCATGAATCAAGGCTTGAACCAATTAGACTACCGATTCCTAGTTAAATTGTTTCGACCAGTCGATCCGAGTCAATTTTTAAAACATTGGATTAGATAGGTTGGCTTACCAAAATTTTTAAAATAAAAAAATACTTACATGTTCTTATTTTTAATAAATAAAACAAAGAGTTATAATTTTTTCTATTTGAAATAAAGTTTATCATTGATTTAAATATAAATATAAAAAAATTATCAATCAAAATTTTAAATGATAACTACATAAAACACACACACACACACATATATATATATATTGACCCGACTCGACCCATAATTATGATGAGTTGGGTTGACCCATCAAGTTGGACCTATTTTGACACTTTTAGTTAAGAGTCAAATAATAATTTTTTTTTTAGTATCCATTCTTGTGTATGTGGTTTATGTCAATTAAAATTAGGGTAAATTATAATTTTAGTTATTTATCTAATTTTTAAAATTCAATATGAGCATTTGTCTTTTGAAAAATTCAATTTAGTTCTTTATGTTTATAAATTGACTCAAAATTATACTTTCTATTAAGTTTCTAATGGTCAATGTGACATAATTTATCATACAACAAAACACCAAATTGAACCGGAAACATTAAGGATCAAACTAAGCTTATTTAAAAATATAAAGGATTAAATTGAACCTATACATAACCAACTACACTAATCCAAACCCAATTGCATCAATCCAAACTTAATTTCATGCACCAAGCCAAATACAACCAACTTAAACCTAGAAAGAAGTCAAACCACCATAGGAGTGAAGTTTTTGGTCTTATTTTTTTAACCAAATTTTAGTTAGTCATTAGAATGTAAAACATTTGTTCAACTTCAAAATTTACTAAAAGTTAATTGATTGTGTTAGAATACATTTTATATTATTTTTAAGTTGTTTTAATTGTAACTTCATGTTATGGAATTCCACTAATATATAATTATATTTTTGCCTTTTATCTTTTAAATACATTCAATTTGTTCCTTTGTGTTTTTAAATAAGTTTAATTTGATCCTTTTATAATTATAATAAGGTTCAATTTGATCCCTTATAATATTAATAAGATTCAATTTGATCTTTCATCATATCAATAACTATACTAATGGGTAGAGGTAATGGTCAACTAATTTTTTTTTTGACATTGACTATTAAAAAATCAACAAAAAGAAATATTTTAAATCACTTTGTAAATTTAAAGGACTAAATTGAATTACAAAAGGATCAAATTAAATTAAATAAATAAATAAACAAAAGACTACAAACATAATTTAATCGTTAAAATTATAATTTTTTTCTTTAGTAGCCAAAGTTTTACCTTTTTAAAGATTTTTCAAAATGTATTTAGTTATTTTTAGTAAAAGAGCATTATTATTTATAAATTATATTTAAAGACTTTTATTGAAAATCGAAAATAGTCCGGACAATATACTTAATATTTTCTACAGCTCATATTATCACGTGAGTTTAAGAAATAGGTACCAAATAAGTGTGATTTTATCTTTTTTAATACAATATTATTAATTTTTTATTTATAATCTTAATATTTTAAAAAGATATTATATTGTATTGATTTAAAAACAAAGATTTAATATTGTAAAATTATATTTTTTTTATTTATTTGTAAATTTATTTTAGTCCTAAACTTTTGTAGGTATTCATTTTGTCTTTGAACAAATTTTATTTGATTTTAATTTCTAAAAACTTTTCCAAAAAAAAAAATAGTTGACAATAAGGACCAACAATGTTATCAAGAAATTTTTATTTGAAGATTACAAGTAAAAATTGAGAAAGTCAAAAAAATTGCAAATCATATTTAATCTTATAATTTATATATTTAAAATTTTTATTTATTATAAATTTTGACATAAAATAAAATATATTGTGAATTGTGAATGCTAAAATATTAAAAAAGATTATATAAATGGAAAAAGTTAAACTTGTCAAAATCGCCATGCAGCTTAGTTAATCTTAGCTAATAAGTAAGTCAATTAAACCTCGTTTACCTTATAATAAACTAATAAAAAATACATTTCACATGATTCATTACGAGTCAGTGTTAGTTCATTTAATTTAAAAAATATATAAAAGAATATATTTTTTCTAATGTCCAACCATTTCTTTTAAAATACATATTTTTTATAAAAATATTAAATATCTATCTAGCCTTTTTTAAATATCTATCCAGTCAAATCTACATTTTTTCTAATGTCCAAACACATGATTTGTTTTTTTTTTCTTTTTCTTATTTTTTTTCTCCCTCAAAAATGAGTTCCTAACCCAGTAAATAACCCTCCTATGTGATATTTGGCTAAGCAAATAAATGGGTTGTGGGTTTTTAATTTCTTTTTATGAGTGAGTTGTGGTTTTTTATATTATTTTTTGTGTGAGTAGACTTGTGAGCTAATCTGACTTATCACGGATTCAACTCATGACTCGAGTTTTTAGTGGGCCGAATTGAATTTTCAACAATACTAAAATTTGTAAATTCATTTTAATCCAACTTGACTCGAATAAGTGGTGAGTCGAATTGACTCACAAAATGTGATTCATTTTGACAACTCTAGAAAAAAACAATGTGAGTGATAGATTGACTTCAATGTCACTTTTGTTACATGGAACTATAAATCCAATGTCTAAACACACACTATGTTGATGATATGACAATTAATACTTATTATGTTAAGTTATACTTTTAGTCTCTATTTTTATCAATCTACAATTTTGATCCCTTATTTTAAAATAAAGACATTTAGTCTCCATATTTCTAAAAATACAAAATTTTAGCCCTATGACAATTCAATGTTTGTTGATCTTTAAATGACGTTATTAAATAATTTGTCACCATTTAAACGATATAATATTCATTAACATGTCGTATAAGGATAACAATTAAAAAATAACATAAAAAACTTCATTTATATTTATTTTACCAATTGATTAGTATTTATTTTATTAATAAATCTTATTTACATATTTTTTTAGTTTTTTATTTCTAAATATCATATTACTAGATGTCACGTCACTTAAGTATGAATAAAATTTAAAATTTAATAGATAATATATGTCAATTTGATTGGAGAACCAAAAGTTTGTGTTTGTAAAATTAAAAAAATTAAATATCCCTATTTTAAAATAAAGAGAATAAAATTGTGGATTGACAAAAATAAAGAGATCAAAAGTAAAAT